AATGATCTGCCTTATTGTATTCTATCTCCATGGTACATTTTATGGTGTAAAACTTGCAAGATACTCTTATTTCCTTAATTAACCATTTTCAGGCCATTGCTTAATCCTCTGGTTGACTAGCTTATTGGCAGGAGGACATTCAAAACCTGGGCAAAACACAAAACACACAATTCACAGGTACTCTATGCCTGGAGTTGTGGATAAGACACTTGACGCTAAAGAAAACAGAAAATTGGTGATAGCTAAGGCAAATTGGCATAATCATCCTAGTGAAAATGCAAGCAGGGAATACTCAGGGTCATGCTTAGCCCAGGTGTGTGCCGAGGCACGCTGGGATGCAAACAGCACTAATTTACTGAATTCAGTGGATCAGCCCTGACATTTACATAGAATCTTATAAAAGAGTCAGCTATGAAGCAGCATCTGTTAGCAAGTAGGCACGTATCTATGTATTTACACTCATTACTGGATACATATGCCGAACAATGGAAAGTCTTCTCTTCTGCTATAGAAATAATATGACACATTATTTTCATAACAGTCTGGCAGTCAATAAAGAACAAGCAAAAGGAACACAGTAGCACTTTTCAAATGTGCACAGGACTGCTTGGGAATTTCGCTGTTTCAGGAACCTACGGTCCAGAAATACTAAGCTGCTTTCAGTCTGATTTGCCAAATATTGAGTAATTTTCTGGGACCTACGTTTTGGAAATCTGGGGGGAAAATAGTGTTCGGGCAATATCTCTTATGTATTCATTATGCAGTATGAAAAACAGGCTGATCCGAGCCATCAGAATTAGAGTGTCATTCCTTCCAGTACCTAAGAAAGATCTTTGTCCTGTTGGTGCTTCTTTTTCTTTTCTTTTCCTTTTCTTATTAACATACATTTTTCAGTATTTCTCCAGGAGCTTAAAGCATTTAGACATGGCAGAGACCTTTTGGAGTTATCTGTGCATGACTTTGGCTCTGGCTCTGGAAACAGGACTCCAACAATGGGTTGATGCTTTATCATCCTAACCTTTAAAGGACAGGGACTAAGGATATTGTGGTCCGCCTCTATGACCCAGTTTAAAAGTCTCCTCCATTCCCACTGCAAGGTACATTTGTCAGAAGACAAATTCAGAAACCCTCCACGACACTTTATTTCCTAATAAATTTTGTCCTCCCCGCAAAATTGTCAGTCTTTATCCCAGTATGTGTCTGTGCAGTACCCCAGTCTTGGGTCATGACTGAGTGATGAGGATAACTCGTGAGTCAAGCACACTCTTCATTGACTTTCCCCTTCTCCCATTCTTCTCTCACTTTCTAACTCACAAGTGATCTCTAACTACTAGAAGGAAGTATGAAAATAAACGTGGGTTGCCATGTTTTCAAACTGACTTGAGGCCTGTAGAGATTTTTGTATCTGTGATGCATTGGTTTGTATTACCCTCGTTCCCTGAGAACTCCAGAGGTATGCCCCACAGATGGAGTGACTTAAATCCCTTGGAATGTGTCTCTTATGGTAGCATACTGACTTCCATGATCATAGAACCTCTAAAATCCAAGTGTGTGGTGGTAAGTATCCTCTGAAATAACCCCACCTTCTCCATCTCTCCTCATTTGTCGTGGGGAGGATGTCTCCAAAGTTTCCATTCTGAGTCAGAGATGAGGGGAGTGTGGTGCTAATTAACAGTGAGACCCAGATGTAAGCAAATCCCAGAGAGCAACAGGGAGCTTATGGGTTCCCTGTAGGACCTGTAGGAGCTCTTTCCCACAGTCCTTCACAAATAATGACAAACGGAAAAAGTTGTTTTTAATGTGATGAAATGGTTGAGGACATGGGCTAAATGCAGACTCCCAAATCTATTTTTTTAAAGATTTTATTTATTTCAAAGAGGGAGAGAGGGAGAGACCACAAGCAGGGGGAAGGGCAGAGGGTGAGGAAGAAGCAGATTCCTAGCTGAGCAGGGAGCTGACCTCAACCAAAGGCAGACGCTTAACCGACTGAGCCACTTAGGTGCCCCCCAAATCTACTTTTTTTTTTTTAACTATCTGTTTGCTTTAGACAAAGCTATGTAATCTCTTTAACCTTTTCTAAACAAGTACTCACCTTATCTATGAACTAGAAATTATAATAGTACCTATCTCATAGAGTTGTAATGAAGATTAAATGAATCAATACCTGAAAAGCACATTAAATAGTGCCTATTGCATAGGAACTGGTCAGTAAATATTAGCGATCATTTGCTATTGTATGTTTCACTTGTGAAATCAGCTTCGCGTGGAGAGCATGCTTAATCATTTTGTTCAGACTGTGAAAAGGAAAGCCAGCACCATGCCCAGCTTTCTGGAAGTATTTATTGTCCTAGGTATATCGCTACACTTTACTTGGCTTTACTTAAAATATCATCGTCAGATTGTGTTATTTTAAGTACAGTGAAATAGGGCCACTATCATATTTAGTGGGCATAAATTAAAATGAGCACATTTCTCTTTTTACCTAAATTCGGAAGCAAGATGGCTGTTTTTTATTATATGAGTGTGTAATGAAAGAAATATATAAAATTACTTCTGGTTGGGAAACAGAGCAATGATGGTGTGTGTGTATTTTAAATGGCATTTTTCTGTCTGTAAAGAAAAATGTTCTCTTTGGGCTATTTCACACATCACCCCAAACTAAAATTTATACCTGGATCTGTGGTAACTCTTTCTGGAAAGCAGTAACTTTACCCAGTGGAGAGTACTTCTAGAGCGCCTTTATTATTTTACTAAAATTTACACTATAGATTATATTACAAGATAATTTATAATGGTTTTGAATGACCTGCTTTAAGTGATACCAAACCATCTTAGAACAGTTTACATAAATTTTCACGTTTTACCAGAACAAAAAAAGGGTTTACATTTTAGAAATTTATGAAAGTGGCTATTATGTCAAATATACTTTTAAATAGAATCATATTTTTAATTGTTTACTGGTATAGCTGCTACATACCAGCAACTGTGTTCAATGTTGAGGGTACAGATGGGAATAAAACACAATTTCACAGGAGTATGAAGACACGAGGAAATTAACAATAAGTGTATTGAGAGCTGTTTCAGGGACCCAGAGAACAAAACATAGCAGCCCTACGAGGAATGGCTGCGGAGGGCAAGGTGTGCAGAAGAGTAGTTCTGGGAGGAAGCAGGGAAGAGGTCAGTGTGGTGTGAGTGAGGAAAGCATTTGGAGACCTAGCTAGTCACGTGTCTGGACATCATGGAGGCCCCAGCCCTGCTGCTGCTTGTCAGGCGGGTCAAGGGTTTTGAATTTCTTCTGAAGACCGGGAAGAATCATAGAGAGGTTTTTAGTTTGAGTTTCATATTTGAATTTTGGGGAAGTTCCCCTGGTGGCAAAGTTCAAGATAGATTGAAAGAGAACCAAACGAGAGGAAGGAAAACCAATATAGGGGGCAAGGATAATAGAGAATCTTGTGAACGGAAAGGATGATTGGAGATTATTTTGTAGGTAAAACTAGTAAGACTTAGTGACTGACGTCAGTCTGGATGAGGAAAGAATGAGGTAAGGATAGTGGCGCTGCCCTCCACCAAGAGGAGGAGTTTAGGGAAAGAAGTAGGAGAGAAAGGGAATTTCTTTTTAGCCATAAGTTAAATTTTACATATGGGGACTTCCCATTTATCATGGTGTTTCCTAGTGGAGATAACCAGGTGGCTGTTAGAAACCCAGATTTTAATTCTTCAAGTATAACCACAAAGTAGAGAGAGATATTAACTCATGTAAGGTCATTTACTATGAGCATGTGTATAGTAAAAATAGGTGGTCTGAATAAAAATGAGAAAATATAAGAGCTAAAAATGGAGACCGCAGAAAATACTCGTATTATAAGTGCCAGAAAACTAGAGCCTCCAAAAGGTCCTTTAAAGTTAATAGTGAGAAAAAGCAAAAAGTGGACAAGAAATGCCACAGAAGCAAGAGAGGTTAGGACTGAGAGACTCTACATAGACCTAGAAAATGTCTGAGAACATAAACACCAAATTGTCAGTAGTGGCTGGCTGTGGGGTGTGGGGCTGAAGAGAATGGTGCTAGAGCTGAGAATTTTCACCGGATATTTGAATTTTTTTTTTTTTTTAAATGAAAGTGTTTCATACCTCTCTCTACTATTTTGGCAACTTGCTGTGAGCTTTTAATTATTTCACAATGAGAAGTGAAAACCAAAGTCAGGTTAAAATGTAAGGGATAGTCCACTGGAAAGGAAAAATAAATCAAGCAAATAAGCTTCTTAATCAGAACAGGAGAAGGAAGGGGCAGCACGAGGCAGTCCGCAGTGTCCGTGCTGTAGGTGGGTCAAAGAAGATAAGGACTTGTCAGCCTTTCAGCTTGGTTTTTAGATTAGGCCACAAGCGACGTTATTAAAAGCAACTGCCATGAAAAGCCAAGGGCGGAAGCTTCACTGCATTTGTTGCCAAGTAGAAAGTAAGGACTGGAAGAGGTGGCATAGTCATCTCCTCGGGGGGGAACGTGAGTGTGAAGGGAGGAGGTAGAGATAGGGATGGAGGGTCCAGCAAGAAGGAACTGTTTGCTCAAGGTCCTTATCGGGGCAAGGAAGAGATTGATGCGTACTCCCTTGGTCATGGAGATTTATTGCAAATTACCCAGAATGGGAGGTAGCATGGGGATTTGACCTTTTTTGAAAACTGGGTTCTGCAGGCAGTGTTTTAAGGACTTGGAGAAGGCCCTCAGCAGGATTTCTTGGCAGGATGAGACCTGAGCTTATTTCTGTGCTGGAGGTAGGCACCGGTCAAGGGCAGAAGCTGTCAAGGACAGAGGAGTGTTGAGATACTTAACTGAAGGAACGTAGCCTTCATTTGTGGAATGAAGTCTCATACAGAAGTACAAAACTCTTCTTGTTCCAAAGGCTAAGCTAACTGATAGATTGTAAGCATAAATTCACACTAGAAAAGAAATGAGGATGATATAAATAAGCTACTAAATTGTTTCCTTTTTCCTTCTTCTTCTAAAGCCGAACAACAACTTATCCTTACACAGAAACGCAGATGTACAGCCAAAACACTGGAGGGAATTACTTTGATACCCAAGGGAGTTCCGCGCAGGTGACTACCGTGGTTTCGTCCCACAGCATGGTGGGCACTGGTGGGATTCAGATGGGCGTCACTGGAGGACAACTCATCAGCAGCTCTGGAGGAACCTATCTCATCGGCAATTCCATGGAGAACTCCGGTCACTCAGTGACACATACCACTCGGGCCTCCCCAGCGACAGTAAGTATTTGAGTTTTTGTTTCTTTCATTTAGCTTCTTGGTAGCCTCCATGGTACATTTTCTTCTCGAGGGAAGAAAAAAAAAATAACACAGACTGGGGCGGGCATGAATGTGTTGAGTAGTTTTAGTTCTGTGGTATTTTCCAGAACGTGGCCTGTTTGCCTCTGTGCAGGTTGATACTGATATGTCCCCCCCACGCCCCCTTACATGAGTTGGGAAGTTTTTTATGAGTAATGGGAAGAGAGGTGAGTCTTCCTCATTGATGCTGATTTTTATAGGCTTCCTTCAGTGATATATAGTAAAATACTGTAAATTTCTGCTGAAAAAACTCACTTTTATCTTATGCTGATTTACACTGGCTTATGAAGAGTAAAATACAATTGAGTTTGAATTTTCCCATCTTTCAGTAGTAGTCTTAACTCATCACCAGAGCAGTTACCATACGGGCAGCATTTCCCAAACCTCAGACATTTAGTTTGGCCATATTCACTCACATCGCCTGTACTATTATTTCCTCAATGTATTTTTAAAAATTGATTCACTTCTAAAATAGAAAACCATGTGTAATTTTTTCTAAAATATATAAAAACCCATACTTAAATAGTAAAGTTAGAAGTGTTTACCGTGTGCCATATTATAAGGTCCCTCTGTTCAACCACAGAGACACTTTGGGAAAGACTGATGTAGGTGATTCCGGTGAAAAAACATCTCCATTGGCTCTGGTGATAGGCGTGAGCATGTATCTGAGGAACCTGCCTACATATTGAGTTTTCAAGTTTTTAAAATTTAATACAAAGATTTATTTTGACACAGATTTTAATGTATTATAAATCTGTCCTAGAAATAGTAATAACAAGCTGTGTAGAATTTGATACCCTCCAACTGTGTCCTGAACTTTCCAGCCTCCCCTCTAAGGAGGATAATCACTGAGAACCGCCCCCCGGCTGAAGTAGCAATGGAAGTGGTTATGTACGGGCTTCACGTAAAAGGGGGCTGGCGATTTTAATTAAGTGCATTTCGTAATCTTGCCGTATATTTTGTTCTTACAATGAAATAGAGGTAGAAACAGATTGAATAGGAAATAATTACGACAGGCTTTACCTTTCTCATTTTATGGATTTTCCTCAAGATATAATATGTACCTGGTAAGTATTTTATATATAATTTTTATGTTTCTAATCATTGCATGTGTTCAGACTTTCATCACTTGGTCCTTTTTCCCTGCTCCATCTCTAAAAGCTCATTATATTTAATTTACTGTTCCCTACTAACATCAGAACAGATGACTTGCCATTCTGAGGGAGAGCTCTTCTTTGTACTTCTTTCTTTGTGTTTTTGAAGCATTTCTTTGTGTGTTTGTCTTTTGCTTTTAATACCACTAAATATGACATTTCTAAACTTTTTAGCCACGCTGCTATATTTATGTCGATTAGAAACGAAATCATGGGTTCTCTGGACCTCATTCCCCTAGCAGTAAAATAAGGGCTTAGTTAAACTAAATGATATCTTAATTTCCTCCCAGCTTTAAAATCATAATATTTACAATTGTAAATTGTAAAATGTTGTAGATTATCTTTACCATAAAAGGAAAGGAGGTAGATCAGGTACCGTACTTTATAGCGCTCCTGATAAAGGCTACTCAGAAGGTCATTTTCAGTGAAAAGGAAGATACTTGCCACTTGTCAGGGCCTGAGGAGAATTGAAAAATGGGGAGAAAGAGTTCTTTCCCACTGTCCTTTCACCCACCCTCTCCCATGCTGGCATTCCATCTGCCCCATCCCCACTTCTTCTCCTTCCTTTTCTCCAGGAGTTGTTGTCTGTCTTCACACTGACTGCCGGCTATCTGCTAAACATTCTCATCCACTGAATACTGGTTTTTTAAATTTATTAGTATTATCACTGAGTTCATAAAATTGATGATTTGGGATCATGACAATATAGTTGCAAATGTAACAGTAAGTTTTATAGTTTGTTTTTTGTTTTGTTTTGTTTTCTATGTAGAGTATGAAAAGTGGCATTACTCTTTTTAAGTTGTCCACTACACAGATTTGATGTGTGATTTTTTTTTTTTAAACTAACACTTAAAATAGCTGAGTTATAGTAACTGGGAATAGTGGAAACCTATTAAAAACCATCAATCCGTAGTATCAACTGTATATATTAATTTATACTTTTTTTAAAAGAACATTAATACCTAAGGTTCTTTTATTAAGATTGTTCTTTTGGTCCTTGTTAGCAAAAGGAATAAAAAAGTTAAATAAAAAGGTAACTTTGCATGGAAACATCGTAAGGTCAAAGCACAAATGATAGTGTCCTATGATAGATATATCTATCCATCTAATAATCTAAATATTATAGTATAATATTTATAATATGATCTACATAATAACATAATAATAAACAATCTAAATATACTTCTGCTAGTGTTGATTGTATTATCTTCCATTATTATCAAGATTTATATTTGATTTAGATTCTTCTCTCAATAGTGCAAAAGATCATCTCCTTCATTCACCATGAAGTGTACAGTTTCGCATCTTTTATTCTAGTAAAGGTAACAAAGTCTAAGTGCCGTGCAACCTATTTACAATTTCCTACCATTCTCCTTTTACCAAATGTTCGAAAATTTGTACCTTCTGGTTGTTTAGACTCCTAGAACTCAAAGATTATTTTGGTAGGTACCATGTCATTAAAGGGAATTTACTTATTTTCATGTATCTTTTTCATTCTCTGTAGAACCCATATGAGCACAATCTTGAGCCACTTGTTGGTCAAGACTCAAGCTGTCTTTCAAACATTGAGCCAGGCTGTGCCATTGACGTTCATCTCCCTCCCTGTTCTTTAGTGCTCAGCCTGTCTCCTTAGCATGCTTAACACAACTGAATGGGTAGCAGTAGTCTATACCACGGCCAGAATTCCTGCTTGGGAAATAGTCTATTGGGGTTACTGCTTAAGAGGTCATAAGAAGTAGAATGTACAGTCAGCTAATTCAGTTAATGTGAAACTGGTTAAGTTTTGAGTTCTTGGGAACAAGAGAACTTTACTCAGTTCATGGGTAGCAAGGTTTCTTGCCCTGGTTCTCAGAAGAATTGCCTTGACTCTCTCTTGCACTTGACTTTAGTCTATACAGAAATCCTTCTATCTAAATTTAGTAGGAATAACTTCCGGCTCAAAGAAAAGTTTATTTCAGTGTGCAAACCCAGTTCCCAAGATACGCCAATAGAAACAAAATGATCATTTTAAATTGAAGCCATTGCTAAGAAGAATAAACAGTTCTTGAAATATTTTCTTACCTATCTAATATTTCGTATATAACCATTTTTCTTATACTAGAAAGATCTCTGAGTGATTAATGGAAAATTTGCATTTGAGCAAATGATTCCCTTCGGTTCTATAACTTTAAATGACAAAACATTCACATAACGTGTTTTAGTATTTAATCGTTGCATTGTAAAAGTTTTCAGATTTCAAGTTACATAGAAATAACAGAATTTTCTGAAAGATTATGATGGCAATATATACAATTTTATTTTATGACTATATATTATAACATAAACTACTGATATTCAGATTTGGTCAAGATACTATTTCTCCTTTTACTGTATATTTTTATTTGATTATTGGAGCCGTGTGTATAATTCATATGCACATACACACATATATACATATATGTTTTTATTTATATAAGTATGTATACACAAACAGTAATAGACATTTCCTGCTGATAGTATTAATAATTTTCAAAAAGAGTAATATTTTTAATGGAATATCACTGGACATAAGTTCAGCTAAGTTACTACTTGAATAAATGTTTTATGTTTTATTAAATTAATAATGCTAGGGATCTGTTTATTGTTAATATTTCAGTGACACGTGGATATTAATATGGAGGAATTAGCTTCAGTCACAACTCTGAGCTCATCATTCTTTGATATTTCTCCTGATTGCATCACCATGATGTTTCCTTGTGTGTCTTCATTCATTTAAAACTCTTACTTTTCTGGGGCACCTGGTAGCTCGGTGGTTAAGCGTCTGCCTTTGGTTTGGGTCAGTTTCTCAAGGTCCTGGGTTCGAGCCCCACCTCGGGCTCCCTGCTCAGTGGGGAGCCTACTTCTCCCTCTGCTCCCCGGCCAAATAAATAAATAAATAATTTTTAAAAAACACCTCTTATTTTTCTTCATTATCATTCTGTAGAGCCACATCATTTGCAGAATTTTGGAACTTGAACCCAATTTGCATTTGAGGATCAAAACCTTGTGATTGTAGTTAGTGATATTTTTGTGCTCATCGCAACATAGTTTATTTTTTACCAGACTTTATAATAGCCATTTAAGAAGCTTTATATACTTACTTCTCCATAAAGTAACATTTGTGTTCTTATAATTAGATGGTTATTTATGGAGTTTTTTTTCCTTCTTGTTAAATAAGATTACATTAATCATTTTTTAGACTGTGATATGAAAGCTAATTTTTATACCTTTCTATATATATATTTAGTATATATTTAGTAATTATATATGTTAAATGGCTCTTGCTAAAAGTAGATCCCACCAAGAGACATAAGGAAAATGTGTTGAAACTAATATTGTTTATATCTCTCCCTTTTTTGATTAATGTAAAACACCGTCATTTCTTTCAGTTGCCTGGGAGGGAATTTGAATGTCCATCTGCTGCTATATAAGTCAAAGTCTGGCCTATCTTGTGTAATTACAGAAAGTTAAGCTTTGTTTCAAAGTTAGAGATGCTTTTATTTCTTTATTCTTGGGTTACATGTTTATGGATTCAGTGTAAGGGAATTTCTTTTATCTGAAAAGATGAATGGATGGGGAGCCTGGCTGTCTCTGTCAGTAGAGCACATACTCTTGATCTCAGGGTTTTAAGTTTGAGCCCCACGATGGGTGTAGAGATTACTTAAGAAAAAAAGAAAACAGGTGAACGAATGTGTTTAGTACCTCCGGAAAATGCTTTTGCCCTCTTACTCCTTTACTGGAATGGTCCCA